CAACGCGTATTTTAATTCAGAGGAGATGAACGAAGTCGCTTGTTTTGACGTAAACTGCTGCGATAACTCCCCTGGGAAAAAATATTTCTACAAGCCTTCGTCTGACAAAGCAAGAATTTACAATTTTTGTTCGAACACCAAGACTAAGACCCCGAGTTTGGCGACCAAACAAACCTGTGAGAGTTTTTTTGAAAGGTTTGCTCTTTACACGTCTCAGCAGAATTGGCGCGAAGTCCAAGAAGCGGTCCTCGAGAATTTCCAGAGGATTTTTCGTACGTCGGATCGATCAGCAGCTTTAGAATATATCGATTATTTCAAAAACTGGAAGCTGAACGAGTACACAAACGTCGAACTAAACAGAGAAGAGGTGGTGATCAAGATTCTGGATTTGATTTTGACACCTCACGTGGTAGCACCGTCCAATTGGAACGAAGATTTAGCTTTACTAGAAAGAGGGTTTGCCAAATTCGACTTTGTGTTAACGAGTGACTTCAGCGATGAAGAACTCGCAACTATTGTTTCCCCTCCAAAGTTCGAATCGGAAGAAGAGGTGATGCGTTTGGCGAAAGATTTGAAGTTTTTGACGAAGAACCAGGACCAGTTTTCGGACTCTAAACACGAAATGGAGGTGAAGCACAAGATTGGTTATTACCGAAAAGGGAAACCAATTGTCGTTAAAATAGACGAGGGGAATGTAGACACGATTTTCGCAACGGTTTCAAAGTTTAAGAGGACTGGAGATTGTTTACATTTTATTTTTGTTGGGAACAGTCAAGTCGTGAAAAAACAATTATCCGGGTTTACGGTGTTTGAAAGCTTGTCCGACCTGGTGAAGCTAGACAAGGACATCTATGAAGAAATGGTCAAGGCAATGAAGATTTTTCTATTTGGAGAGAAATATTTTTATTGTGATTTTTTTGACAAAGAAGAAATCGCAACGCAGATAACGATAAAGGACATTTTTCGGATGTTGTCAAGTACTTTCATCTTGACCATAAACAAAGAAGTTTTATCGGAACCTTACATACCAAGATTTTTGTCGAAAACACTCATCAAAGTTGAGTCTGTTGACATAATTTCGAACGATTTTCTTATTTTCAGTACTAACGACCACTGGCAAGTTAATAAATTATTGGAAAAACGCATATCTAGACCTTTTGTGTTAACGAGGGAATATCTTGAGGACACACCATCAACTCCCTGCGTTGTTAGACATTTTAACGTGTCTTTTGACGATTTTGAAAAAATAGTACAGATGAATCCATCAACCAATGTCCACTTTTTTGAAGCACACGACGAAGAATATTTTGAGTGGGTAGCGTCAAGTGGTAGCGTTAAACCAGTGAAAAGTTGTATATTTTTCAAAGAAACATACATCGACGAGTCCACAACTTTGCAGCTATCTCAAAATCGGATTAACGTCATCGTCGCTCCTGCTGGAGTAGGAAAGTCCGAAATTTTGAAGAAGTTGAAAAACTCCTGTCCATCGAATTTTTTCCCAGTTCTAGCCAATTTAAAAGAACACAGCGACTTCTTCAAAAATGTACACAAAGACGACGAAACACTGGAACATTTTCTGTTTAACGCAAACGACGATTTGTTTTGGTCGAAGATTAAGAAAAATTTCGCCAAGAGAAATAAAATCATGTTCTTTATGGACGGGTTGGATGAACTACAAGACGGAAACATCGACGCTGCTTTAGATCACGTTAAGCGATTATCCGAAATGGGTTTTACTCTTTGGTTGACTTCTAGACCTCACCTGGAACAGCTCATCCAGAACAAACTGAATGTTCTTTGTAGGAACATTCAAGAGTTCAGTGATAAAAATCAAGAGGACTATATTAGGGAGCGGTTGAAGCAAAGTCCAAATGTCGACGAGTTAGTGAGTGGGATTTTTAAGAATATTGACACTATTGTGGAAAATACAGTCGTTTTAGGCATTCCAATGCAACTTTTCTTGATCACGGAAATTTTGAAGGAGACGCCGGATATAACTGACGATATTTTTGTTTTGACGGAGATGTTTCAGAATTTTTGTATCGGAAGATATCAGTACTTTTTGAGAAAAAACGACCGCGAACACTGGGAAGCAATAACAAAAATTCTTAATGACAGTCTCAGGTATCGTTTCAAACAGTATCAGATTGCCGCCCTCAAATCCTATTTTACGAGACAAGAATTTCAGGCTTTTAATATCGATTTGGATAGCTCGTTTCTTGAAGAAATAGAAACAGAAGGCGACTTTCTAGGAATCATTTTGAAAATTAATCCTCATGCAGTGGTTTTTCATCATAGCATGACTGCCACCTATTTCGTGGCGTTATATCTTGCTGAAAACTATTCCAAACATAGGAGATTTCTACAAGCTACCCTTTTTAAACAGGGACAATACGCCTTACGACTTTTGTTTGATTTGATTCTTGCTGAAAATTCTCCAGCACACGTAGCCGTTTTATACAAAAACGTAGAAGCGCTGAAGAAGCACAAAAACAACATCCACTCTGTTGATGAAGGAGGTCGCTCTGCTTTACACCTTGCTTGCTCCCACGATATCTTTATTGCCATGTTTGAAAACAACTTCAAAAACAAACACAACTTAAACAAACTTAGTAAAGGCGATGAATCCCGGAAGATAATAAAATTCTTACTAGACCACCAAATCGATCTACTGTCAAAAGACTCCGTCTACCAATGGAACAGTTTAAACTTCGCAGAAGAAACATATTCCTTTTTTCTTTTCGACGTAATTTTGGAACGCAACGCCCCAAGATTCGGCATGAAAGACAAAATACTCAACTTAGACATAATGAAAGAACATCCTCTCCATGTTCTAAAGTACTGTGTCTTCTTTTCCTGGTGCCACCTTTTCAAAGGCCTCTTTGAAATTACGAAACCCAATCTCAAAGATACGATGCACATTCTTCGCTTTGCTGCTCTTAGAAACAACTGGGAAATTGTTAACTTCCTGATGGACTACAAAGTTGATATTCAAACCACCACAGGATGTGGAACGGCGATTTTGTTTCTAGCTTGTGCCATGGGTCATTTGGAACTCGTGATGTTCTTTCTGTTGAAAGGAACTGATGTTAATGTTGCCACTAAGTATGGTCGGACACCTTTGTATGTTGCTGTGAAAAAGGGGCACGAAGAGGTGGTTAAGTACTTAGTGGATGAAGCTCACGCCAATGTTAACAAGAAAGCTTGGGATGGATGGGGTCCTCTTGAGTTAGCCATCAAACAAGGAAATGTCAACATGGTTCGCTTATTCCTAGAAAAAAATGTCGATGTTGATAGTACGGACGGATATGGAATGAAACCGCTACATTTGGCCGCCAAACAGTCAAACCTTGAAATCCTAGTCATGGTATTGGAGAGATCTAAAAGTGTAGATGTTCGGACTAGTAACAGCCGCACAAGTTTACATTTCGCTGTAGAAAATGGCAATCTTGCTTTTTGTGAGTACTTATTAGAGAAGAAGGCTCAGGTAAATGTATCCGATGAAACCGGAAAAAGTTGTTTGTTTTTGGCTATTATTTTCGGACATTGGGAAATTTTTGAGTTGTTGTTGAAGCATAACGCGAACGTTGACGCCTTCGACAATGAAGGAACTAATTGTGTGCACTGGGCGGCAGAACATGGACGTTTGAAAATGCTCGAGGTACTAGCAAACAAAAGTAAAAGAGCAATTATTGACGAAAAGTGCATGAATGGAAGTACTCCTTTACACTGGGCTGCACACAAGGGACACAATGCTGTCGTCGAGTTTCTCGTAGAAAAGGGAGCCGATGTTGATGAAGACGACGACTACTCAAGGACTCCTCTGTGTTGGGCGGCTTCGGAAGGTCACGTCAGTACTGTGGAACTACTACTAGAAAAGGGCGCAACCCCCGAGACAATTAACGGAATGTCGGCGTTAGACTTTGCTAGATACAAGACCAAGTGATTTTCAATTGTAAAACAAGTAGATTCTATATTTAGTGTAATTTATAGACAGCGGATTTCTGTCGGGCTACGTCACGATTTTAGTGGGGACGCGCTGCATCGCCGGGACTCAGTAGCGGGTGATAGGTAATCACTGAATTTAATTGTCACTTGATTCCATAAATACAATTAACGATTTATTAATCAAACGGCTAACTAAATGAGAACTGGAATTAACAGCAGAGTGCAACGAAGCAGCGTTATTCTAATCTCAAATAAACGAAGTGCAGCCGGTAACTGCAATGAATTCCCATCCCGTACGAGCCGTACCGAGTTTGGCCTTGTCTAGCCCGACAGAAATCCGCTCTCTAGTAATTTATCATAAATACAGGAATTCTTGACAAAATATGTTCGTTTTAATAAAAATCACTCATTTCTACTAAGTAGAAAAAACGAGGGACAATGCAGGTAATCGCGTTATTCTGAAATATGTAGGTATTGAATTTAGAAAGTCCCAATCTTGATTATAGCTGTTTAAACGGCAATTTAAAAACTGCCTTGGTAAAATTGCACTGCTATGATTAGTACGTCATATCTTATCAAATCCGGTTTAATGTTATCCATTACACATACTTTGTGGAAAATACGGTAATCGAGAGAAAGAATGCGGTTTACGTTGTGTGTGTTTTAATTGTGGTTTGTTTTTAACGGAAGAAGCGATTTTTACGTTAAAGTGAACGACTGTTGTGAGCAGAAACCGAATAAGCTAGATGTAAGTAAGTTTTCATACATTTGGGGGTATTTATGTTGGTGTTTTTGTGGCGTTTGTGTCTCTGTCTAAGTGTGTTTGATATAAAAAAAGTTTACGACAACATCTGAACCTTTAAAATGGTAATTAGTTGCATGGTTTCTGTAATCAAGAAATAAAAAAAAAACAATCGATTTGTATGAAAATGTTGGCACTTGTTATCTATCGTGAAATAGTTTGACCTTCGTAGATTAAAATTTATAACAATACGTTTATCTCTTATCTGCAAAAGTTGGGTGATTTTTGAAATATTTACAATTTTTTGCAGAAACCTCAAAAAATGACAAGTAATGAAGACCAAGAGTACGAAATCCTCCTCCCAGCTCTATTCACTCTCTTCTTTCTCGAAGATGACACCATCAGAAACTTCGTTCTTAGAAGCGATGTGCAGAAATTCGGTTCTTTTGGCGATCTTATCATCACCCTGTACAAAACCGACGAAGAAGAAAACTACGCCTTCCAAGTCAAACACAAAGAAAAGCAAAACTGCGTCTTAAGCCCCAGATGCTTAGAATCCGAAACCAAAAGCGACTTCGCTGTTTTAAAGTACTGTGAAGAATTCAGCGGAATCGAAGAAAGGGAAAAGTACTCTTTCGTTACTTACACCAACGCGTATTTTAATTCAGAAGAAATGAACGAAGTCGCTTGTTTTGACATAAACTGCTGCTATAACTCCCCTGGGAAAAAATATTTCTACAAGCCTTCGTCTGACAACGCAAGAATTTACAATTTTTGTTCGAACACCAAGACTAAGACCTCGAGTTTGGCGACCAAACAAACCTGTGAGAGTTTTTTTGAAAGGTTTGCTCTTTACACGTTTCAGCAGAATTGGCGCGAAGTCCAAGAAGCGGTCCTCGAGAATTTCCAGAGGATTTTTCGTACGTCGGATCGATCAGCAGCTTTAGAATATATCGATTTTTTCAAAAACTGGAAGCTTCAAGAGTACGCAAACGTAGAACTAAACAGAGAAGAGGTGGTGATCAAGATTCTGGATTTGATTTTGACACCTCACGTGGTAGCACCGTCCAATTGGAACGAAGATTTAGCTTTACTAGAAAGAGGTTTTGCCAAATTCGACTTTGTGTTAACGAGTGACTTCAGCGATGAAGAACTCGCAACTATTGTTTCCCCTCCAGAGTTCGAATCGGAGGAAGAGGTGATGCGTTTGGCGAAAGATTTGAAGTTTTTGACGAAGAACGAGGACAAGTTTTCGGACTCTAAACACGAAATGGAGGTGAAGCACAAGATTGGTTATTACCGAAAAGGGAAACCAATTGTCGTTAAAGTGCACGAGGGGAATGTAGACACGATTTTTGCAACAGTTTCAAAGCTTAAGACGACTGGAGATTCTTTCCATTTTATTTTCGCTGGAAACAGTCAAGTCGTTAAAGAAAAATTAGTTAGTTTTACGGTGTTTGAAAGCTTGTACGACCTGATGAAGCTAGACAAGGAAATCTATGATGAAATGGTCAAGGAAATGAAGATTTTTCTATTTGGAGAGAAATATTTGTATTGTGAATTTTTTGACAAAGAAGAAATCGCAACGCAGATAACGATAAAGGACATTTTTCGGATGTTGTCAAGTACTTTTCTCTTGAGTATACACAAAGAAGTTTTACCCGAACCGTACATACCAAGATTTTTGTCGAAGACGCTCGTCAAAGTCGAGTCTATGGACGAATTCCGTAACGATCTTCTCGTTGTTAGTCTTCGTTTACACTGGACAGTTAAAGATTTGTTGGAAAAACGCTTAGGTTTACCTTTCGAGATAACCTGGAGATATCTTGAGTCACCACCATCAACTCCCCACATTCTTTGGGACTCATTCGGGTCTTTCGACGATTTTGACAAAGTGGTCAAGAAGAATCCATCAATGAACGTCCACTTTTTCGAAGCGCACGATGAACAACGTCTTCAATGGTTAGCAAGCAGTGGTAGCCTCAAACCGGTGAAAAAGTGTGGAGTTACCAAAGAAATATACGTGGATGAGTACACAACGTTGCAGCAATGTAATAATCGGATTAACGTCATCACGGCTCCTGCTGGAATGGGAAAGTCCGAAATTTTGAAGAAATTCAAAAGCTTCTGGCCATCGAAATTTTTCCCAGTTATAGTTAATTTAAAAGAACACAGCGACTTCTTCGATAATGTACACGAAGACGACGAAACCCTCGAACATTTTTTGTTTGACTCAAACGACGATTTGTTTTGGTCGGAGATTAAGAGAAATTTCGCCAAGAGAAAGAAAATCATGTTCTTTTTGGACGGGTTGGACGAACTAGAGCACGAAAACATCGACGTTGCTTTAGATCACGTAAAGCGGTTGTCCGAAATGGGTTTTACTCTTTGGTTGACTTCTAGACCTCACCTGGAAGAGCTCATCGAGAACAAACTGAATGTTCTTTGTAGGAACATTCAAGAGTTCAGCGATAAAAATCAAGAGGACTATATTAGGGAGAGGTTGAAGCAAAGTCCAAATGTTGACCAGTTAGTGAGTGGGATTTTTAAGAATATTGACACTATTGTGGAAAATAGAGTCATTTTAGACGTTCCAATGCAACTTTACATGATCACAGAAATTCTGAAGGAGTCGCCGGATATAAGCGACAATATTTTTGTCTTGACGAAGATGTTTCGGAATTTTTGTATCGGAAGATATCGGCACTTTTTGAGAAAAAACGACTGCGAACACTGGAAACCGCTAACAAAAATTCTTAGTGACAGTCTCAGGTATCGTTTCAAACAGTATCAGATTGCCGGCCTCAAATCCTATTTTACGAGACAAGAATTCCAGGTTTTTAATATCGATTTAGATAACTCGTTTCTTGAAGAAATTGAAACAGAAGGCGACTTTCTAGGAATCATTTTGAAGATTAACCCTGATGCGGTGGTTTTTCATCATAGCACGACTGCCACGTATTTCGTGGCGTTATACCTTGCCGAGAACTATTCCAAATATGGTGAATTTCTACAAGCTACGCTTTTCAAAAAAGAACAAACCCACTTGCGACTATTGTTTGACTTGATTCTTGCCGAAAACTCTCCAGCCCATGTAGCCGTTTTGTACAAAAACGCAGAAGCATTGAAGAAATACAAAAGTGACATCCACTCTGTAGACAAAGGAGGTCGTTCTACTTTACACCTTGCTTGCTCCTATGGTGTCACACGCGTCATCATTGAAGACAACCTAAAAAACGAACACGAAAGTAATGACCATTTCAACAAACTGAGAAAAAAGGATGACGAATTTCGGAAAATAATAGAATTCTTACTGGAACACCAAGTCGATCTACTATCAAAAGACTCCGTCTACCAATGGAACAGTCTAAACTTCGCAGAAACCACACTATCGATTCTTCCTTTCGAAGTAATTTTGGAATGCACCGACCCAAAAATCGGAATGAAGGACAAAATACTCAATTTAGACCAAATAAGACACAAACCCCTCAACATTCTAATCTGCAGTGCCATCTTTTCCTATCGCCACCTTTTCAAATTCTTGTTTGAAATTACACAACCCAAACCCGAAGACACGACCCAAATTCTTCACAGTGCTGCTTGCTTCAACAACTTCAAAATTGTTAACATCATGATGGATTACAAAGTTGATATTCAAATTGACACCGAACGTGGAAAAACGATTTTGCATCAAGCTTGTGCCATGGGTTATCTGGAACTCGTGATGTTCCTTCTGTCGAAAGGAGCGGATGTTAATGATGTCGATGAGTATGGTCGGACACCTCTTCATCTAGCCGCTCTTAATGGACAACTTCAAACTGTTGAAACGCTTTTGAACCATGAAGCATCTCTTGATTCTGTGGATAAATTCGGTCGAACGCCTTTGTATTTTGCTGTGGAAAATGGGCACGAAGATATAGTTAAGTACTTAGTGGATGAAGCGCACGCTAACTTTAGCAAGAAAGCTTGGAATGGATGGGGTCCTCTAGAGTTAGCCATCATGCAAGGAAATGGAAACATCGTTCGTTTCTTGCTAGAGAAAGACGTGAGTGTTGATGGTGTAGACGACTATGGTATGAAACCATTACATTTGGCCGCCAGACAGTCAAACCTTGAAGTACTACACATGGTATTGGAGAGATTTAAAGATGTTGATGACTGGTGTACTGACGGTCGCACAAGTTTACATTTCGCCATAGAAAATGGTAACGTTGCCTTTTGTGAGTACTTATTAGAGAAGAAAGCTTGTATAGATGAACGTGATGAGAGGGGACGAAGCTGTTTAGACTATTGTGTCAAGTTGGATCGTTGGGAAATTTTTGAGTTGCTTTGGAAAAATAATGTGGACGTTGATATCTCCGATGGTGATGGGATTAATAGCCTTCACTGGGCCTCAAAACATGGGCATTTAAAGATGGTCGAGTTACTAGTAAACAAATGTGACAGATTGATTTTCGAAAAATCCATATCTGGAGTTATGCCTTTACATTTCGCTTCAGAAAATGGTCACAATAGAATCGTGGAAATTCTCCTAGAAAAGGGAGCTGACATTGATGAGCCCGACGACTACTTCGGAACTCCTCTGTGTTGGGCAGCTTCGGAAGGTCACGTCAGAACCGTGGAACTACTACTAGAAAAGGGCGCCACCCCCGAGACAATTAACGGAATGTCGGCGTTAGACTTTGCTAGATACAAGACCAAGTGATTTTCAATTGTAAAACAAGTAGATTCTATATTTAGTGTAATTAATCATAAATATAGGAATTCTTGACAAAAATATGTTCGTTTTAATAAAAATCACTCGTTTCTACTAAGTAGAAAAAACGAGGGACAATGCAGGTAATCGCAGTATTCTGAAACATGTAGGTATTGAATTTAGAAAGTTCCAATCTTGATTATAGCTGTTTAAACGACAATTTAAAAACTGCCTTGGTAATATTGCACTGCCATGATTAGTACGTCGTATCTTATCAAATCCGGTTTGATATTATCCATAACACATACTTTGTGGAAAACACGGTAATCGACAAAAAGCATGCGGTTTACGTTGTGTGTGTTTTAATTGTGGTTTGTTTTTAACGGAAGAAGCGATTTTTACGTTAAAATGGATGGTTGTTGTGAGCAGATACCGAACAAGCTAGATGTAAGTCAGTTCTCAAACATTTGGGGGTATTTATGTTGGTGTTTTTGTGGCGTTTGTGTCTCTGTCTAAGTGTGTTTGATATAAAAAAGAGTTTACGACAACATCTGAATCTTTAAAATAGTAATTAGTTGCATGGTTTCTCTAATCAAGAAATGAAAAAAAAACCGATCGATTTGTATGAAAGTGTTGGCACCTGTTATCTATCATGAAATAGTTTGACCTTCGTAGATTAAAATTTATAACAATACGTTTATCACTTATCTGCAAAAGTTGGGTGATTTTTTAAATATTTACGATTTTTTGCAGAAACCTCAAAAAATGACAAGTAATGAAGACCAAGAGTACGAAATCCTCCTCCCAGCTCTATTTACTCTCTTCTTTCTCGAAGATGACACCATCAGAAACTTCGTTCTTAGAAGCGATGTGCAGAAATTCGGTTCTTTTGGCGATCTTATCATCACCCTGTACAAAACCGACGAAGAAGAAAACTACGCCTTCCAAGTCAAACACAAAGAAAAGCAAAACTGCGTCTTAAGCCCCAGATGCTTAGAATCCGAAACCCACAGCGACTTCGCTGTTTTAAAGTACTGTGAAGAATTCAGCGGAATCGCAGAAAGGGAAAAGTACTCTTTCATTACTTACACCAACGCGTATTTTAATTCAGAGGAGATGAACGAAGTCGCTTGTTTTGACGTAAACTGCTGCGATAACTCCCCTGGGAAAAAATATTTCTACAAGCCTTCGTCTGACAACGCAAGAATTTACAATTTTTGTTCGAACACCAAGACTAAGACCACGAGTTTGGCGACCAAACAAACCTGTGAGAGTTTTTTTGAAAGGTTTGCTCTTTACACGTCTCAGCAGAATTGGCGCGAAGTCCAAGAAGCGGTCCTCGAGAATTTCCAGAGGATTTTTCGTACGTCGGATCGATCAGCAGCTTTGGAGTATATCGATTATTTCAGAAACTGGAAGCTGAACGAGTACACAAACGTCGAACTAAACAGAGAAGAGGTGGTGATCAAGATTCTGGATTTGATTTTGACACCTCACGTGGTAGCACCGTCCAACTGCAACGAAGATTTAGCTTTACTAGAAAGAGGGTTTGCCAAATTCGACTTTGTGTTAACGAGTGACTTCAGCGATGAAGAACTCGCAACTATTGTTTCCCCTCCAGAGTTAGAATCGGAGGAAGAGGTGATACGTTTGGCGAAAGATTTGAAGTTTTTGACGAAGAACGAGGACAAGTTTTCGGACTCTAAACACGAAATGGAGGTGAAGCACCAGATTGGTTATTACCGAAAAGGGAAACCAATTGTCGTTAAAGTGCACGAGGGGAATGTAGACACGATTTTTGCAACGGTTTCAAAGTTTAAGACGACTGGAGATTCTTTCCATTTTATTTTCGCTGGAAACAGTCAAGTCGTGAAAGAAAAATTATCCGGTTTTACGGTGTTTGAAAGCTTATACGACCTGATGAAGCTAGACAAGGAAATCTATGAAGAAATGGTCAAGGAAATGAAGATTTTTCTATTTGGAGAGAAATATTTGTATTGTGATTTTTTTGACAAAGAAGAAATCGCAACGCAGATTACGATAAAGGACATTTTTCGGATGTTGTCAAGTACTTTTCTCTTGAGTATACACAAAGAAGTTTTACCTGAACCGTACATACCAAGATTTTTGTCGAAGACGCTGGTCAAAATCGAGTCTATGGACGAATTTCGTAACGATCTTTTCGTTGTTAGTCTTCGTGTAAACTGGAAAGTTAAAGAGTTGTTGGAAAAACGCTTAGGTTTACCTTCCGAGGTAACATGGAGATACCTTGAGTCACCACCATCAACTCCCCACATTCTTTGGAATGCATTCGAGTCTTTCGACAATTTTGAGAAAGTCGCGAAGAAGTATCCATCAATGAACGTCCACTTTTTCGAAGCGCACGATGAACAACGTCTTCAATGGTTAGCAAGCAGTGGTAGCCTTAAAACGGTGAAAAAGTGTGGAGTTTCCAAAGAAATATACGTAGATGAGTACACAACTTTGCAGCAATGTAATAATCGGATTAACGTCATCACGGCTCTTGCTGGAATGGGAAAGTCCGAAATTTTGAAGAAATTCAAAAGCTTCTGGCCATCAAAATATTTTCCAGTTATAGTTAATTTAAAAGAACACAGCGACTTCTTCGATAATGTACACGAAGACGACGAAACACTCGAACGTTTTCTGTTTGACACAAACGACGATTTGTTTTGGTCCGAGATTAAGAAAAATTTTGCCAAGAGAAAGAAAATTATGTTCTTTTTGGATGGGTTGGACGAACTAGAGCACGAAAACATCGACGTTGCTTTAGATCACGTAAAACGGTTGTCCGAAATGGGTTTTACTCTTTGGTTGACATCTAGACCTCACCTGGAAGAGCTCATCGAGAACAAACTTAATGTTCTTTGTAGGAACATTCAAGAGTTCAGCGATAAAAATCAAGAGGACTATATTAGGGAGCGGTTAAAGCAAAGTCCAAATGTTGACGAGTTAGTGAGTGGGATTTTTAAGAATATTGATACTATTGTGGAAAATAGAGTCGTTTTGGACGTCCCGTTGCAACTTTACATGATCACAGAAATTCTGAAGGAGTCGCCGGATATAAGCGACAATATTTTTGTCTTGACGAAGATGTTTCGGAATTTTTGTATCGGAAGATATCGGCACTTTTTGAGAAAAAACGACTGCGAACACAGGAAACTGCTAACAAAAATTCTTAGTGACAGTCTCAGGCATCGTTTCAAACAGTATCAGATTGCCGCCCTCAAATCCTATTTTACGAGACAAGAATTCCAGGTTTTTAATATCGATTTGGATAGCTCGTTTCTTGAGGAAATAGAAACAGAAGGAGACTTTCTCGGAATCATTTTGAAGATTAACCCTGATGCGGTGGTTTTTCATCATAGCACGACTGCCACGTATTTCGCGGCGTTATACCTTGCCGAGAACTACTCCAAATATGGGGAATTTCTACAAGCTACGCTTTTCAAAAAAGAACAAACCCACTTGCGACTATTGTTTGACTTGATTCTTGCTGAAAACTCTCCAGTCCACGTAGCCGTTTTGTACAAAAACGTAGAAGCATTGAAGAATTACAAAAGTGACATCCACTCTGTAGACAAAGGAGGTCGTTCCACTTTACACCTTGCTTGCTCCTATGGTGTCACACCCGTCATCATTGAAGACAACCTAAAAAACGAACACCAAAGTAATGACCATTTCAACAAACTGAGAAAAAGGGATAACGAATACCGGAAAATAATAGAATTTTTGCTAGACAACCAAGTCGATCTACTATCAAAAGACTTCGTCTACCAATGGGACAGTCTAAATTTCGCAGAAACCGCACTCTCGATTCTTCCTTTCGACGTAATTTTGGAACGCACCGACTCAAAAATCGAAATGAAGGACAAAATACTCAATTTAGACCAAATAAAACACAAACCCCTCAACATTCTTATCTGCAGCGCCATCTTTTCCTATCGCCACCTCTTCAAATTCTTGTTTGAAATTACACAACTCAAACCCGAAAACACGACACAAATTCTTCACAGTGCTGCTTGTTTCAACAACTTCAAGATTGTTAACATCATGATGGACTACAAAGTTGATATTCAAATTGACACCAAACGTGGAAAAACGATTTTGCATCAAGCTTGTGCCATGGGTCATCGGGAACTGGTGATGTTCCTTCTCTCCAAAGGAGCGCAGGTTAATGATGTCGATGAGTATGGTCGGACACCTCTTCATCTAGCCGCTCTTAATGGACAACTTCAAACTGTTGAAACGTTTTTGAAACATGAAGCATCTCTTGATTGTGTGGATAAATTCGGTCGAACACCATTGTATTTTGCTGTGGAAAAGGGGCACGATGAGGTGGTTAAGTACTTAGTGGATGAAGCGCACGTTAACTTTAGCAAGAAAGCTTGGAATGGATGGGGTCCTCTTGAGTTAGCCATCATGCAAGGAAATGTAAACATCGTTCGGTTCTTGCTGGAGAAAGACGTCAGTGTTGATGGTGTAGATGACTATGGTATGAAACCATTACATTTGGCCGCCAGACAGTCAAACCTTGAAGTACTAGACATGGTATTGGAGAGATTTAAAGATGTTGATGACTGGTGTACTGACGGTCGCACAAGTTTACATTTCGCCATAAAAAATGGTAATGTTGCCTTTTGTGAGTACTTATTGGAGAAAAAAGCTTGTATAAATGAACGTGATGAGAAGGGACGAAGTTGTTTAGACTATTGTGTCAAGTTCGATCGTTGGGAAATTTTTGAGTTGCTTTGGAAAAATAATGTGGACGTTGATATCTCCGATGGTGATGGGATTAATAGCCTTCACTGGGCTGCAAAACGTGGGCATTTAAAGATGGTCGAGTTACTGGTGAACAAATGTGACAGATTGATTTTCGAAGAATCCATAGCTGGAGCTATGCCTTTGCATTTCGCTGCACAGAATGGGCACAATAAAATCGTGGAGATTCTCTTAGAAAACGGAGCTGACGTTGATAAGCCGGACCA